ATTCGTAGCAAAATTATTGTATTTCAGTCACTGTAGTCTATTGCCTTGATTTTGCAGACTGTGATGTTTTGCATGATTAGGGCACGCTGGATCTGCATGTTCAGAGGCCCAGTACCCTGGTTTGCTTCTTTCACTAAAGTAAAGTTTTGACGAACTGTCAAGGGTTAATGCCTACCAGAGTCTTAGAACCTTTGACAAAATTGTTTTTTTTTGGGTGGGGGTGGGGGCTTGATTGTCTCTTCTGTCCTTTCTTAGTTTATGGCTCTTAATACTGTACCTTAAGCCTGAACCTTTGGCGGTTACCATAATTATTTTCAAATTTCTCTCTTTTTTTGTGAAGGATAAAATGTAAAAAAATAGGAACTAGGTCAATTCTTTCTTGTCCTAATAATCAAAGCAAAAAAACAACAACAACGCCACTATATCGCTTGACAGTAGCCTACAAGGTGACCTCAATATTTAACACAGAATCAGTTCCCAGGATGGGATTGTTCACGTGTGGATGGCCATTTGCCCCTAGACTGGCTGTTGGCATGCATTACAGTTGGTTGCAGAGCTCCTGTGTTTCACTTTGTTCAGTGGCCTAAAATGTTTAAATCAGATGATTGTTGATGGGGACGGAGGAGGATGTTGAAGTGTTGTACTAGGGCCGAACAAATGAAAAGGGAACCACATTTATCCAATACAAGAAGTGTTTATTTTTCAGTGGATGCTAAAGGAACATTTCACACAATTTGTAGCTCTAATTTCCATTTTGACAGCTTAGTAAGGCATCTTAATAACAGAATGTAAGCTGGCAAACAAAGAAGAGAAACAACAAAGAGCATCCTGAGGCAAAATGTCCTTGTTACAATCAAGGCACTGTTTCTGGTACTGAAAGAGGGGAGTTCTTAAAATCTGATGCAGGCTATAGTGCATGGGTGATTTAAAATCTGTATGATAAATTGAGGGTGATGCCTAGTTTTGTGGTAAGATTAATACTGCCTTTTTCGATAGGTGGTGAAAATGTAATCAGGCCAGTAATTATTGGGAAAAGGTAATGGATTTCATTTGGGGTTGAAATTGTAATCCTTTTGTAACCCAGAACTGGTATTATTGAATTGTATTGTAACAGTACCAAAAAGATTGCATGAATGTGTTTTTGAATGCCATTACAGCACCATGTTTAGTGTGAACAAGATCTTTGGGGAAAAATTCATCTAGAAATATGGAAACATTACAGGGTATAATTGTTTCACATATGTAGTTAAAAAACATACAGACCTTGAATATATGGAAAAAGGCATTTCAACACATTGATCAGTATGTAAACATATTTTTTCTTTCATACTTAGTTTTATTTTCACTGGGTTTGTACATCTGTCCATTCGTGGTATAGAAATAATTTATAACATTTACAAAAATGACAGAAGTAAGGGGCAGGATGGAGCTGCACTTCTGGAAATCCAAAAGGCATTGCTTCTTGGCTTTTTGGCTCAAGCACTGCCCTTCTGCAAGGCTGGGAAACTCTAGGAAAAAACCTACACATGTTCCCTTGAATTGTGGGTGACCTGCTATGGCTGATTTCTCAAAACTTCGTGCTGGTGCTTGGGCCTGCACAGATGGCATGAGCAGAAATGCTTCCAAGTCTGAGGAAGGGCCAATGGAGTTGAGCAGGCCATGGTCTGATTTCATCCCCATTCTCTGGAAGTTGTAGGAGAGAGATCTTAAAGCCAAAGAGTCCGTTCAGGCAGCTCTTTAGATCCACCACAGGCACGATTCCCTGGTGGATTAAAAATGCACGACCAGACACAAACATCTGGGAAATGTCCCTGTTCCATGGACATCCCATTTTGCCGTGCCTCCTACCCGGACTTAAAAGACAGTACTTTGAATCTAGAGTTTTCCGGACCCGACAGCGGACTTTCACCTGTCTGATCATTCCACCAGCGCGCAATCCTCCCGTTGGGGTAGTCTGACATCAGACCATCCCGAGCGGGCGCGATTTTAAAAAAACCACCACCCAATATGCGCTTAAGCGCATTTAAAAACGAGGCTGTGGAACCCTGATCTAGCGCCATGAACACTTTAATGCTTAAGAATTACCCGTGATTTTGAGGACGATCACTTAATGCAGTGGGAGCTGGAGGGGGGGATGGGTCTTTCAACATGCAAAATAGTCCCTCCAGTTAGCATGATCTCAATGGCAAGGGGGATGGCCGGGACTCATTTAGGCTACGCGTCCCTCACGCAATGCTTTGAACATTTGATTCTGCACATGCGCGGATCTACAAGGACGCGCAGTCATGCCCATGCATAAAACGTTTTTAAAAAAATATCGCACACGCTTCCTTCAGTGGACGCCGTCTAGACAAGCCACAGCGGAAGCAGCGTGCAGTAAAGCGATTCCCCCGGGGGTGTCTGGTAATGCAAGGATGGATTTTAAAAATCGGGATCAAATTTGAGCCGGCATCATGGCGGGATTGGCTGCTTGTCTGAACACACTCAAAGTCCTGTTTAAGGAGGCAGGTTGGGCAAAACAAAAGCAAGAAAAGGCTGAAGTGTGAATCTTCACACCTTAGGTTATCACTGCCACCAGTCCCCTTACTAGAGACCAAGGGACAAAGTCTCTAGTCCTCCCAGGTCTAAAAACAAAGTTTTACTTACTTACAAGGACACTTACAAGGTTAGTTCCAGAAAACAATTAAACTGGTACTTGTAGCCAATATGAGCTAAAGTACTGGGTTCAGACTGAAGCCCCCAAACCCAAGAACACCACAAATATAAGTAAACTGATTTATTAGAAGAAGAGGAGGAGGAGGAGGAGGAGGAGATTGGATTTATACCTGCCCTTCACTACCCAAAGGTGTCTCAGAGTGGCTTACAAACTCTTTTCCCTTCCCCTCCCCACAACAGACACCCTGTGAGGTAGGCGGGGCTGAGAGAGCTCTGACAGAAACTGCTCTTTTTCAAGAACAGCTCTTATCAGAACTACGGCTTGCCCAAGGTCATCCAGCCAGGTGCAAGTGGAGAAGTGGGGAATCAAACCCAGTTCTCCACTACACCAAACTGGTTCACAATTATAAAATTGTGTAGGAATATACAATAAAAGATCAGTGAACAGATAAAATGATAAAGCTATATAAGTAAACACATTTACAAACACTGGTTCAAGATCCAGATGTTACCCAGCAAGACTGAGTCCAACAGGGTTTCGAAGTCCAAGACAAGGGCTCCAGTCAGCATGACCCTTCCAAAATCAAGACGTTAGATGTATTCTGGACAAAGGGCAAAACTCGAATAGATCTCTTTTATAGTCAATGACCTGTGTTGGCCTGATTCTAGGTGACCAATCAAACATATAGCAAATGATCTAACTTGACCAATCAGATATGTTACTAACCAGTTGACTCAACCAATCAGGTGAATTTGCCAATTAGACCAGACACTCTGCAGCTGCATTGGGTCAAAGTAAACAAGCACCTTCTCCTGGCCATGAAATCAGGCCCTAACTAGGTAGATAGGGTTGCCAACTCACTTTTTGTTGGGAGCGGGGGGCTCCCGGCCAGCGTCCTCTTTGTTTTCCCCTCAAATGGCGTCGCCCCGCCCCCAGCGTGTGACGTCACTTCCGGGTGACGCACGCGTGGGGGTGGGGTTTCCCCCGGGCCCCGATTCCGCAGGAGCGGGAATCGGGGCTCGAAACCGGGGGGAATTCTGCCCCCCGGGGGATTTGGGACCCCTATAGGTAGACCGTATCCTCCTAGATTCTTGTGGCCTTGAAACTGCCAGGCCAAATTGTCTGACTGGCACCTGGGTTGTCGCTCATCTCTTTGAAGCTACTGGACCTTAGTTCTCAGAGAGTGAAACTTCCATGATTTTTTAGCTAGGCCTCAGCTTGAACCATTGTTTGACTTGATAAGAGACTATGAAAAGGCCTCGTGTCTTGACAATACTGTCCTCAGCTGGAGTACATCACCACCCAATTTGCAAGCATGCTTCAAAAGTCATTATTCATCTGCTGTTTCCACCAACCTGCTCCCTCCCCCTCAAATGTTGTTGCCAAGTTTGACATAGTAAACTTGGGGAGAGCATTTTTTAAAATTGACCTCTTCTATTTAAGTTTTGTTTTTACTTTGTTGTAAAGTATTCTGCCTAAAGAAATACTTAGTTCAGACTTTTGTATAGTTTCATCACAAACTTCTTTCTCCATAGGCAGAATTCATCAGCCATATAAAAAAGTTATAATGCTTCCAAAGGTCATCCAGTTGAAACCACCAACCAATCCAGTCGAAACCACCATCAGTCTTGTATTGACCTTTAAAGATTAGGTGTGTAAAGTACGTACTGGTACCCCCTGTATGCCAAATACAGATTATCCCTTGTCCTCCGTGGGATGATGGCAAAAAAAGTGCCTTGTAACATGTAGTTTTGTGAGTTGTAATTAACTGTTCCTGCCTGCAAAAGGGATGGGTGGAAGGTGTAGTGCAACCACTACTGAAATGTTATCATTTTATCAGTCCTCCTTTAAAGGAGAAAGCTGGGATATAACACTTGGTTAAAATCAATGGATTGGATCTGGCACACAATTTCTGCTTGCGCTAAACCTCTTGTGCAAGAAAAAGACTCCAGTAGCCACTTGACCTACATCAGATTTGTGCAAGTTCTTGTGCAATCAGTTTCTGGGTACTATAATATATGGAGATAAATGTGCTAGATGTTGCACAAGATCTTGCACAAGCAGAACTGTGCTAAGTCCATTTATGTTTCCTGTTGCTCCATCAATGGATCCAAATCAATAACTAAGGGCTTCAATTATCACTTATAGTGTATATAAATCCTTGAAAACAGACTTCATCCTTACTATTAGTGTTAAATTCTTATTCCAGGACTGTCTCTATATAGATGTATGAGTATATGGAATAAGATGGGTGTCTTATCTCTTTAATTTTTCCCCTTTCACTGTACCTGTAGCTTTATCTGCTTTTCCCTTAAACCTCTTTTTGTGTTTGCCTTTCTTGCAGAATGCCAAAGTACTTGCAAAGAAGGAACTTTCCTACATGCCAATCATTGGTTGGATGTGGTATTTCCTAGAGGTAGTTTTCTGCAAACGCAAATGGGAGGAGGATCGAAAAACGGTCATGCAAGGTCTGCTTAATCTCCGAGATTATCCTGAAAATTTCTGGGTAAGTGTTGACAGTACAGTAGAGCTGATCCATCTGGAGTTCCTGAAAAGGGAAAAGATGGAATATAAATACATTAAATAATCATGATAGTACAGACAGTGATTCATTTATTTTTTCATTCTTTTGTGCCGCATTAAAGTATTGGAAGAACAAGGCACTCCTTTTCTACCACTTATGATTCATGCTCCAGTGATTTCTCTCCTTGACTATTGCATAGATCTCTTTTCTGGTCTTCTGCTGTCACACCTCACCCCCCCCCTCACCTCTGTCCCATATTCTGCTGCCAAAACCATTCACCTCTCTTGTTGTTCTGACCATATTTTGAATATGCTGAATAGAACGCTGAATATGCTGACGCATTTGGCTAAAACAGACAGTGGAGCAGTTGGCTAGAAAGATCATTGTTGCTGACATGTCTGCGCTAGGCCTTGCTGCATAAAGGCCAGGTGACTATCCACAATAGTGCTTCGTAGTGCTCTTTGCTGCCTGGCATCTCTTAAATAACTGAATGCACGTCAAGTCTAGACTTTCTGCAGATTAATGCTTATGAGTCAGGTGTATTCTTATGATTTATCTGCAGTGGTGCATGAATTTACATGGGTCAGCAATTGTAGGTTCGAGGGTTCAAATAAATGACACAACACACAGAGATCTGTGCAAGCTCTCTGACCAAGCTCAGTTCTCTCTCTGTCCCAACTGTACTGACTGTTCTCTCTGTACCTCTGATCTGATCTCCCGAACTGGGTGTCAGCAGCGCTTTATTAGAATCAAGCAGGCTCACACATGGTACAGTGAAAACGTTACAAAATAGAAGAAGCCTCTAACTAGAATCACACTATTTTCTTAACAGAATGTTCTTTACGCTGAAACTCTCCTATCTTGCCCACTGTAGCCAAGTTCATTTTCTCAGCAAACTCATGCAGACTCAGCACACTCTGTGCACTGCTTGCCAATCTCCCGGCGAGAGCTTGAACTCGTCCCGGGCGTGCCTCACGGGAGTTGTTCATACTCCCACAAGCAATAGTCATTTTTTTACCTCTGTCCGAAATATCCTCCAGCACACAAAGGGTAATAATTATGTGATGACTCTGTTTTGTCCATTTATATTTTCCTTATCAAAGTTTTTTTTTTTTTCCAGTTTCTGATTCACTGTGAAGGTACAAGATTCACAGAGCAAAAACACCAGATCAGCATGCAGGTGGCTGAGGCGAAAGGCCTTCCCAAGCTTAAGTATCATCTGCTGCCACGGACAAAGGGATTTGCTGTCACCGTCCAGTGTTTGAGAAATGTAGGTAAGGAAAGCCACAGGGAGCCAACTCTAAGATGTCACTTAAAATCGCTTCTTTTCATAGCTGGCTATTAATTGTCTGTGACCCTGTGTCTAAAAAGCATCCATTTCCTTTGACTTGCACAAGCTGCTAACCTTGCAGATTTCTGAGGTTGTCTTCTGAGTGGCTTACAATAATCTCAGTGCCATGTGATTATTCTCCCCCCCCCCATTAATATACCTCCCCAGGTTTGCCGGGGGTTGCCTGATTTGGAGGGGCTCCTTCCTGCCAGCCAGCTGGCGGATAGGGGGAAGCCCCACCCTCAAGAGCGACCACCCGGCCTCCTCCCCGCCTCTCCCCAACAGTGTTTAAAGACTTCCATTAAACGCTCCTGGGGAGAGGCAGGGGCCGCATACCTGCACACTAAGCCCCAAATTTGGGGCTTGGGATGCAGGCGCTCACAGCGTTCCCCCCACCACCACCTCTCCCCAGCAGCACCTCTCCCCAGCAGGGGCTGTGCACCTGCACTCTTGGGGCTTGGAATGCAGGCGCGCGTGGCTTCCCCCCAGCAGCATGTAAAGGATGCCTTTACATGCTGCTGGGGAGAAGCGGGGGCGCCGCTCCCCAATGTGATGACGTCACTTCTGTGTGATGTCATCACATTAGGGACTCCCCACCCCCTCCAGGAACGCCCCCCAAAGTCCCCCGCTGGGGACTTTGAGGGGACCTGGCAACCCTATCCCTGATAAACGTTTTTAGTTATAGAATCTTTGTCTGATTCCTTTAGCTCTCATCTGTGATTGAAATGTATGTCACTTATTTATTTATGTAAGTACAAGAGGCGGGACCCGCGATACTCGCAGGGGGGGTTATCCCCCACGGCTTTCAGCCTGCAGAAGCAGGAGGACCTCAGGGCTGAGGAAGCGGCCACAGGTAAGCTTCCCCCCCCCAGCGGCAAAGCCTAAGCGGCCTCGTTGATCTCCTTCACCCCCCCTCCCCTAGGCTCCGGCGGTGAGGCCTGAGTGGCCCTGCCGATTTCCCCCACAGCTCCAGCAGCAAGGTCTGAGTGGCCCAGCCGCCGGACCCCACCGAACTCCTCTCCACCCCAGCTCCAGGATCTCCTCCACCCCCCTCCCCCGAGCACCGGCGGCGAGGCTTGAGCAGCCTCACCGATCTCCTCCCTCCCCCCCCCGCCCTCCTTCCCCCTCCGCCAGTCTCCTTGCCCCCCCCCCTCAGCTCCGGCGGCGCAGCCTGAGTGGCTTCCAGCCACTGGGCCCCGCCGAACTCCTCTTCCCCCCTGGCTCAGCCCCCCCCCACTCTCCTCTCCGCCCCCTGCTCTGACGGCGAGGTCTTGGGCTCATTGGTTGGCTTGTTTGAAGACACAGGCTGCGAGCCATAGGCTAAGAGCCGATGGGCCATAAATCCTTTTGCTCTTGCCCTTTATCTCTAAGGGCTCAGGCCCAAGTTTTTACAAGGTACCTAAAACAGGAATGGGAAAAAACAGTCCTCAGTAAGATATTACATAGCTGGTAAAGATGTTCCTTCTTTTACTCCTTCCCTCCCTTCCAGCTCCAAATAAAGGCTCAGCATGCAGAACTACTTTTGCTCACCTTCATCTCTTCTTGAGTGGACCATGATGAAGGAATCTGTCGTAAGACAAACTCTGTAGTGCAAAATAATGGCTTAGCAGAATGTCTGAATGACACCTTTGCCTAGTTGAGCTTGCTCAGTTTGTGCTGGCACTTTTGAAATCTCATGTGACAGTATTTATTTTAGTTAAGCATATTTATAACTGTAGGTTAAACAGCCTGCCAGTGTTTGTTTTAGTTTGCCACAGAGATAATATTTTTAACTGTTCAGGTTCAGCGTTGGTGACTGGAAGACTTTAAGCTTTTTACTCATCTCTTAATAACCAGTGGCTTGTGTGTGGAGGAGTGGTAGGAACACAGTGTTGTGTAGTGTTGACTCCCCCCCCCCTCAGACAGATACAATGCCATGCTGCCCACACTCCAGACAAGCTGTTGCCAGTCTCCAGGTGACAGCTGGAGAGATCTTAAAGCTTTGGTGCTACTTCAAAGTTCCCCAGGAGCCCAAAACAGAGTAGTGTTTTGGAAAATCTTGAGGAATTGTTTGGTGCATTAACGATGGGGCTCCTGGGGAACTATTGTTGCCAATCTTGGCCCAGCAGCCATCAAACCATTCTCTTCAACCCCCTGCTGTGCAGCTGACTTTCCCCTAGGGTTGCCAATCTCCAGGTGGGACCTGGAGATCTCCCACTGCTACAATTGATCTCCAGATGACAGAGATCAGTTCCCCTAGAGAAAATGACTGCTTTAGGAGGGTAGACCCTATGACATTATACCTGCTGAGTCCTTCCGCCCCCCCCCCGCCCAATGCTGCCCTCTACAGAATCCACCCCCCAAACCTCCAGGTATTTCCCTCCTTAGAGCTGGCAACCCTACATTCCCCTCAGTGCCTGTTGGGAGTGGGTGGTGGGGGAGGGGAAGGGAGTGGGCGACCGGAGGCTTCTGCCTCCTGTCTCCGGTCCTGGAGTGGGGGGGGGTGGAAACGGACCCGGCGGCCGGAGGCTTGC